ACTTATCACAAGAATAATACACTATGACCAGGTAGGATTTATACCAGGAATGCAGGGTTGGTTCAATATTAGGAAAACTATCAGCATAATTGAGCATATCAACACCAAAACCAACAGAAACCACATGATCATCTCAATAGATGCAGAAAAAGCTTTTGATAAAATACAACACCCATTCCTATTAAAAACACTAGAAAGCATAGGTATAAATGGAGTCTTCCTTAAAATAATAAATAGCATATATCTAAAACCTTCAGCAAGCATTATATGTAATGGGGACAGGCTAGAAGCATTTCCAATAAGATCGGGGGTGAAACAAGGATGTCCATTATCACCACTGTTATTCAATATTGTACTGGAAACGTTAGCTTTAGCAATAAGAGAAGAAAAAGAAATTGAAGGCATTAGAATAGGCAAAGAAGAAACAAAGCTATCACTCTTTGCAGATGACATGATATATACTTAGAGAATCCTAGAGAATCAAGTAAAAAACTACTTGAAATAATAAACAACTTTAGCAAAGTTGCAGGCTATAAAATAAACCCACATAAATCATCAGCATTTCTATATATTACCAACAAAGCCCAACAGCAAGAGATAGAAAGAGAAATCCCATTTAAACTTACTGTAGACATTATAAAATATTTAGGAGTCTACCTCCTGAAACAAACCCAGGAACTCTATGAACACAATTACAAAACACTTTTCACACAAATAAAATCAGATCTAAATAATTGGAAAAACATCAGTTGCTCATGGGTAGGCTGAGCTAATATAATAAAAATGACAATCCTACCTAAGCTAATTTACTTATTCAGTGCCATACCAATCAAACTACCAAAATTATTTTATAGAGTTAGAAAAAATAATAACAAGATTCATTTGGAAAAACAAAAGGTCCAGAATATCAAAGGAACTAATGAAAAGAAAATGCAGGGGAAGGTGGCCTAGCAATTCCAGATCTTAAATTGTATTACAAAGCAGCAATCATCAAAACTGCTGGTACTGGCTAAGAAATAGAGTGGTGGATCAGTGGAATAGGTAGGTAAATATGCAAGACACAGTAGTCAATGACTATAGTAATCTATTATTTGATAAACCCAAAGACCCCAGCTTCTGGATAAGAACCCACTCTTTGAAAAAACTGCTGGGAAAACTGGAAAAGAGTATGGCAGAAACTAGGCATAGACCAAATCTCACACCATATACCAAAATAAAGTCAAAATGGGTTCATGACTTAGATATAAAGGCTGATACATAAGCAAACTGGGAGACAAGGAATAGTTTACCTATCAGATTATGGAGAACAGAAGAATTCATGACCAAACAGGACAGAGAACATTATGAAAAGCAAAATGGATAATTTTGATTACATTAAATTGAAAAGTTTTTGCACAAACAAAGCCAATGCAACTAAGATTAGAAGGAAGTAGAAAATTGGGAAGAATTTTTACAACCAGTCTCTGATAAGGCCTCATTTCTAAAATATATGGAGAATTAAGACAAATTTATAAGAATACAAGCCATTCCCAATTGATAAATGGTCAAAGGATATGAACAGCAGTTCTCAGATGAAGAAATTAAAGCCATCTATAGTCATATGAAAAAATGCTCTAAATCACTATTGATTAGAGAAATGCAAATCAAAACAACTCTGAGCTACCACATCACACCTATCAGAATGGCCAACATGACAAAACAGGAAAATGATAAATGTTGGAGAAGATGTGGGAAAACCAGAACACTAATGCATTGTTGGTGGAATTGTGAAATGATCTAGCCATTTTGGAGAACAATTTGGAACCATGCTCAAAGGGCTATAAAAATGTACGTACCCTTTGACCCAGCAATAGCACTTCTAGGGCTATATCCCAAAGAGATCATACAAATGGGAAAAGACCCACATGTACAAAAATATTTATAGCAGCTCTTTTTGTGGTGCAAAGAATTGGAAATTGAGAGGATGCCCATCAATTGGGGAATGGCTGACAAGTTGGAGTATATGAATATAATGGAATACTATTGTGCTACAAGGAATGATAAGCAGGCAGACTTCAGAAAAACCTGGAAAGACTTACATGGTCTGATGCTGAGTGAAGTAAGCAGAACCAAGAGGACTTTGTACACAATAACAGCCACATTATGCAATGACTAATATTGTTAAATTGAACCCTTCTCAGCATTACAAGGATCTAAGACATCTCCAGAGGCCTCGGGATGGAAAATGCTACCCACATCCAAAGAAAGTACTATGGAAGTTGAATCGCTATCACTTATTTTTACCTTCTGTTGAGTTTTGTTTCATCTTTTTGATGGTTCCTCCTTTTGGTTTTAATTTTTACTTACAACATCATTAATGTGAAAATGTGTTTAATAGGAATGTAAATGTATAGCCTATATCAGATTGTGCTCTGTCTTGGGGGGGAAGGAAGGGGGAGAAAATTTTTCAACTCAAAAGCACATGGAAGTGATTGTTGATAAATCAAAATAAATTAATAAAATTTAAAAAAAACAAAAACAAACAACCAAAAAAGAATGTATACCTCTGCCTCACTTCTGCCTCTAGGAATCCTTGGTTTCCTTCAAGACTGACCTCAGATGCATCTGCTACAGAAAGCGTCTCTTGATGGAGAAGACTAAGGACTGAGTACATTCCAGGCATGGGACACATCCTGTACAAGGGCCTGATGATGGGAGATGGAATATTGTATATAGGAAACCCTAAGGCCAGCCTGCCTGGAGCTAGTATATATGAAAGAGAGTAATTACAACAGAATTGGAGGGTGTGGGAGAGGCAGAACTACTAACTAGGGGAGATCAGCAAGAGCCTGGGACTGGAGAGGGCACGAGTCAAACCTTGAAGGTTGATATTCTAGAAGACAGTAAAAGGGTACACTCCAGGCACTGGTGCAAAGACAGAGGCAGTTGATGGAAAGCCTACTATGAAGAACAGCAAGTGGATGTAACATATAATATTATCATGGGTGGGGGGAGTGTTTAATGTGAAATTACTCTGGAAAGAAAAGCTGGGGCCAGATTGCAAAGGCTTTAAATATTAAACAGAGGAGTCTGTATATGATCTGAGACTAAGTAAGAGGGAGCCAGCCACTGGAGCTTCATACTGCAGCGAGGGAGGGACCTCAGTCAAAGGACATTTATGAAGCACTTCTACAGTGTGTGCTACACAGCAGGGATACAAAAGAGAGAAAAGACGGTCTCTGTCCTCAAGGAGCTCACAATCTAATGAGAAAAGAAACAAAGTATGTGTTGTCGGGCCATGTCCAACTCTTTGTGACCCCCATTTGGGGTTTTCTTGGCAAAGATATTAGACTGATTTGCTATTTCCTTCTCCAGCTCATTTTACAGATAAGGAAACTGAGACAAACAGGGTTAGGTGATTGGCCCAGGGTCACAGTTAGTCTGAGGCTAGATCTGAGGTAATCCTGACTTCAGACCCTGCCTATACTTTATCCACTCGGCCCAAATATGTACATATGCAAAGTAGTATACATGGACAGATAGGAAATAAACAAGGAAGGCCCTAGAATTAAGAAGGGTTGAGAAAGGCTTCCTGTAGAAGATGGAATTTTGGTTGGAACTTAAAGGAAGCCGTGGAGGTCAGTAATGGGAGAGAAAGGAGAGAGTTCCAGGCACGGGGGACAGCCAAAGAAAATGCCTAGAGACCTACTGTCTTGTTGGTGGAACATCTAGGAGGCCAGGTCCCTGAATGGAAGAGTACATGGCTGGGATGAAGGTGTGAGAAGACAGGAAGGAAGGAGGGGGCTAGGTTATTGTATCTGATCCTAGAAGAGACAGGGAGCCACTGAGTTGATTGTCCTGGGGGTGGGGGTGATATGGTTGGACTTGGGCTTTAGGAAAATCACTTTAGTGGTTGAATGGAGGATGGATCGGAGTGGGGAAAAGACATGAGACAGGCAGCCCCACCAGGCTACTGCAATAGTCCATATAATGAGGGCCTAAACCAGTGGTAGCCGAGCCAGAGAAAGAAGGTGGTGGTGTGGGATACTGCAAAGGTGACAGGCTTCAAGCAACAGCTTGTATATGGGATGAGTGGCAGTGAGGCATTAAGGATGACTCCTGGGTTGAGTCTGAGGGACTGGGAGGATGGTATTGCCCTTTATAGTAATAGGGAAGTTAGGAGGGGGGATGGGTTTAGGGGAAAAGATAATGAGTTCAGTTTTTGGACACAGTTTCAGATATCTATTGGACATCCAGTTCGATATATCTGAAAGGCAGCTAAAGATGAGAGATTGGAGGTCAGCAGATAGACTGGGGCAGGAAAGTAGACGTGGTCAGAGCCATATTTTAGGAACAGCATTTTGGCTATTAGGGATTAGTGTTAGGGATCTGGGCAGATAGAAGGCAGAGGTAGCCTGTTAAGAAGGCACTGCAGAAGCACCTCCAAGCTGCAGAGGGAGGGCAGGGGATGGGTGAGGGCGCGGGCAGAGAGGCAGCAATAGAGAAGCCTAGCGCAGGACCCATTCTTTTCCCCCTGCATCCCAGCGACCCCCGTCCCACCTCTTCAAACCTGACTGGTCCAGGCGCTCTGCAGGAGCACGCTCTGGAGCTCCTCTAACCTCTCTTAGAGGACGTCTGCCGGAGCTCCCTCAGGGCAGCCCCGCCCCTCTCGGGCCCATGCCTACCACGTGACCCCGACGAGCCGCTAGCTCCCGGCCCCTTCTTCTCCTCTCTCCACCTCCCCCACCCACGTGACATGACGAGCGGCCAGCCTCGTCAGGTCTGGTCACGCGCAGTCGCGAGCACCGCGCGGAGGGAGGCGGGAGGAGGGAGGTGTGCGCCCGCGCTCTTTTTCCGCCCTTAGCCACCCCGCCACCCAGTGGCCTCTCTGCAGCTGTCTACACCCGCGGGGAGGTGGGGCCGAAGGCCTCTCACACCCTGGCTCCGCGTTAGTGCTGCCTCTTCTGCCCCATCCCCCCTTCTCCCGGGCCCTCCCCTCCAGGACTTTTTATACCAAGAGCTGGAGATGTCGGTGCTGGTGGCGGCGGCCTAGCGCCTCTAGGCCCGGGGTTCAGAGCCCTTTCCGCTTCCTGCCTCAGTTGTCCCTTGGTTTGTTGCCTTCCTCGTCCGCCTTTTCATGAGGGAGCGTGGCTACGCAGGGAAGAGATAAAAATAACTCGGGAGGCGGGGCTGATGGTATCTTATTTATTTTTTTTTCCCAGAGGCTTGGCTTTCGAAGCGTCCAAGCGGGAAGAGCTGTTTTACTGAAATCCTGGCTTGGGGATGTTGGTGTCGATAAACCCTGCACTGATCCTTTCATTTAGGATTTTAAAAACATGCATGTCAGCAACAACATTCAACAGAAAAAAGTTTACTATATGTAATTAAGTGTTGTACCGGAAATAAAATACCTTGAGGTAAAGGACCTTAAAATCTGGGTTGGTTTTTTTTTGGGGGGGGGGATTCGGGGTCCGGTTCTCTTATTTTATTGGTGTCAGGGACTCTCAGGTATGTAAACTTACCACCAAGCAGCAATTGCTCTGTAACTGAAAGATCTTGGGAGAGTTGCTGTGGCTTTACGAAAGGTTAAATGACTTGCCCAGGCTTGCACTGTCATTATCTTTCAGAGGAATGCATACCTTGAAACCAAAGGCCGGTCCTCTGTTCTCTACAAGTCACACTGCCTCTTTTACCAAGTTGAATAAAGTAAGTAAAATAAAGTAAGTTGGATAAAACATTTGAATATTTTATTTTATTCCTCTTATGATCCTGTGAAGTGTGTACTATGCCTGGTTTTGCCAAACTGCTTTCCAGTTTTCCTAGCAATTTTTGTCAAATGTTGAGTTCTTAACCCAAAAGCTTGTATTCTTTGGGTTTATCAAACACTAGATTACTGTGGCTATTTACTACTACGCAGTATTGTGTGCCTGATCGATCCCACTGATCCCCCACTCTATTTCTTAGCCAGTACGAGATTGTTTTGGTGATTACTGCTTTGTAATATAATTTGAAATCTGGGAACTGCTAGGCCACCTTCCTTAATACTTTTTAAAAATTGATTCCTTTAGGGACAGCTAGGTGGCGAAGTGGATAGAGCATTGGTCCTGGAGTCAGGAGGACTTTGAGTTCAAATCCAGTCTCAGACCAGACACTTGACACTAGCTGTGTGACCCTAGGCAAGTCACTTAACCCCAACTGCCTCGCCAAAAAGAAAATTGATTCTTTTGATATTCCTGACCTTTTGTTCCTCCAGAGGAATTGTTACTATTTTTTCTAGCTCTATAAAAAAATTCTTTGGGGGCAGCTAGGTGGTGCAGTGGATACAGCATGGGCCCTGAAGTCAGGAGGACCTGAGTTCAAATGCGGCCTCAAACCAAACACTTGGCACTCACTAGCTGTGTGACCCTGGGCAAGTCATTTAACCCCAATTGCCTAAAAAAATAATAATAATTCTTTGGTAGTTTGATCGTTATGGCACTGAATAGGTAAATTAACTTAGGTAGGATTATAATTTTTATTATATTGGCTTAGCCTACCCATGAGTAATTAATATTTTTCCAATTTTTTTAGCTGTTTTTATTTGTGTGTTGTATAATTGTGTTCATAAAGTCCCTGGATTTGTCTTGGCAGGTAGACTCCTAAGTTATTTTATATTGTCTGTGGTTATTTTAAATCGCATTTTTCTTTCTATTTCTTGCTTCTGGGTTTTGTTGATAGCATATAGAAATGCTGATGACATGTGGGTTTATTTTATATCCTGCAACTTTGCTGAAATTGTGAAGTGTGTTAACTAGTTTTTAGTTGGTACTCTAGTTCTCTAAGTATACCATCAGATCATCAGCAAAGAGTGATGGTTTTGTTTCCTCATGCCTATATTTATTCCTTCAATTTCTTTTTCTTGTCTCATTGCTATCGCGAGTGTTTCTAGTACAATGTTGAATAATACTGGTGATAATGGACATCCTTGCTTCGCCTCTGATCTTACTGGGAAGGCTTCTAATTGATCCCAATTACAGTTAATGCTTGCTCTTGGTTTTAGATAGATGCAACTTATTTTAAAAAAAGGTTCCATTGATTCCTGTGCTTTCTAGTGTTTTTAATAGGAACGGGTATTGTATTTTGTCAAAGGCTTCTTCTGCATTAATTGATAAAATCATATCATTTTTGTTGTTGTTGATATGGCCAATTGTACTTATAGTTTTCCTAATATTGAAACAGCCCTGCATTCCTAGTATAAATCCCACCTGGTCATGGTGTATGATCTTTGTGGTATATTGCTGTGATTTCCTTGCTGGTATTTTGTTTAAAGTTTTTGCATTGATATTCATTAAGGAAATTAGTCTGTAGATTTCTTTCTGTGTTTTTGTTCTCTCTGGTTTAGATATCAAAACCATATTTGTGTCATAAAAGGAGTATGTAGGACTCCTTTACCTATTTTTTTCAAATAGCTTATATAGTATTGGGATTAATTTGTGAATCTGGCTGGTCGTGGGGATTTTTTCTTAGAGAGCTCGATGACTTGTTCAATTTCTTTTTCTAAAATAGGGTTATTTGAGTATTTTATTTCCTCTTCTGTTAATCTAGACAGTTTATATATTTGTTTATATAACATTTTCATCAATTTTACTCAAATTGTCCATTTTACTGGCATATAATTGGGGAAAATAACTCCTAATTAATTGCTTTAATTTCATCTTCATTGGTAGTGCATTCTCCCTTTTCATTTTTGACACTAGTATTCTTATTTTCTTCTTTCTTTTTTAAATCAAATTAACCAATGGTTTATTTCTTTTATTGGCTTTTTCATAAACCAGCTCCTAGTTTTATTTATTAGTTCAATTTTTTTTTACCTTAAATTTCCATTTTGGTATTTAGCTAGGAATTTAAAATTTGTTCTTTTTCTAGTTTTTTTAGTTGTATGCCCAATTAATTGACTTTCTCCTCTTATTTATTGATGTATGAATTTAGAGATATAAAATTCCCTCTAAGTACTCCTTTGGCTGCATCCCACAGATTTTGGAATGTTGTCTCATTGTTGTCATTTTCTTAAATGAAATTATTGTTTCTATGATTTGTTCTTTAATCTACTCATTCTTTGGGATTAGATTATTTAGTTTACAACTAACTTTTAATCTTTGCTTCCACTGCCCTTTACCAAATCGAATTTTTATTGCATTATGGTCCAAAAAAGGTACATTTAATATTTCTTCTTTTCTGCATTTGGTTGTGAGATTTTTATGGCCTAAGACACTTTTTGTGAAGGTACCATGTACAATTCAGAAAAAGGTATATTCCTTTCTATTCCTGAAGTCTATTATATCTGACTTTTCTAAGATTCTGTTCATCTCCTTGACTTTTTAAAATGTATTTTATGGTTAGATTTATCTAGTTCTGAGAGGGAAAAGTTGAGGTCCCCCACTAATATAGCTTTACTATTTCCTCCTGTAATTCTTTTCCTTTAAGAATTTGGATGCTAGGCCACTTGGTACATATATGTTTAGTATTGACACTACTTTATTGTGTATAGTTCCCTTTATCTTTTATTTTCTTTTTGGTGCATTTGGGTTAAGTGACTTTGCCCAGGGTCACACAGCTAGTAAGTGTCAAGTGTCCGAGGCTGGATTTGAACTCAGGTCCTTCTGATTCCAAGGCCGGAGCTCTATCCTCTGAACCACCTAGCTGCCCCATGTATATATAGTTCCCGTTAGCAAAGTGTAGTTTTTCTGCTTATCACTTTTAATTAGGTCTATTTTTGCTTTTTCTTTGTCTGAGATCATAATTGCTACCCCTGCATTTTTTACTTCAGCTGAAGCATAATAGAGTCTGCTCTCACCCCTTATTTTAACTCTGTGTGTGTCTATTTCAAGTATGTTTCTTGTAAATGACATATTGTTGGATTCTGGTTTCTAATCTTTTCTGCTATACACTTCTGTTTTATGGGTGAGTTCATATCATTCATATTCATAGTTATGATTACTAAGTGTGCATTTCCTTCCATCTTGTTTTCTTCTGTTTATACTTCTCTCTCTTTCTTTCTCTCTCTTTTTATCTTGCCCCTACTCTAAAGTCTATTTTGCTTCTGACCATCTGCCCTTCTTTTTATCACCTACTCCCTTTCTCTTATTCCCTTCCTCTCCTATTTCCATATTGGGTAAAATAGATTTCTATTACCATTTGAGTATGTATATATGTTTTCCCTCTTTGAATCAATTTAGATGTGAAGTTCAAGCATTACCTGCCGTCCAACCATTTCTCCCTCCACTATAAAAGCTTTTCCTTGCACCTCTTTAATGTGAAATAATTTTCCTCTTCTTCCTCTTTCTTTCCCCTTTTCCTAGGGCATCCCTCTTTCTCACCTATCCATTTTTTTTGTATCACCCTGACATAATCAGATCACTTTCTCACCGTCTTTCTATTTTGAATCCTTCCAACTGCTTTAATGATAAAGTTCTTAGAAGATACATGTATCCTCTTCCCCCCCCAAAAAAGGTAAACTGTTTAATCTTATTGAGTCCCTTATGATCTTTCATGTTTACCTTTTTTGTGCTTCTCTTGAGTCTTGTATTTGAAAGTCAAATTTTATATTCAGCTGTGGTCTTTTCATTAGTAATGCTTGAAAGTCCTGTATTTCATTAAATATCCATTTTTTTCCCTTGAAGGATTATACTCAGTTTTGCTCGGTAGGTTATTCTTGGTTGTAATTCCAGTCTTTTGCCTTTCAAAATATCAAATTCTAAGCCCTCTGCTCCTTTAAAGTGGTAAGTACTAAATCTTGTGTGATCTTGACTATGGCTCCAATGATATTTGAATGATTTCTTTCTGGCTAGACATGGGGGCTCTGGAATTTGGGCTGGAGTTTTCATTTTGGGGTCTCTTTTAGGAGGTGATTGGTGGATTCTTTCAATTTTTATTTTACCCTCTGGCTCTAGGATATCAGGGCAGTTTTCCTCAATAATTTCTTGAAATAGGATGTCTAGGGTCTTTCTTTGATCATGACTTTTAGCTAATCCAATAATTCTTAAATTATCTCTCCTTGATTTATTTTTCCATGTCAGTTGTTTTTCTGATTAGATATTTCACATTTTCTTCTACTTTTTTCATTCTTTTGACTTTGTTTTATTGTTTCTTGATGTCTCATAGTCATTAGCTTTCACTTGCTCAATTCTAATTTTTAAGGAATTGTTTTCTTCAGTGAACTTTTGTGCCTATTTTTCCATTTGGCCAATTCTGCTTTTTTAAAGTGTTATTTTCTTCAGTATTTTTTTTTGTGCCTCTTACCAAGCTATTGTCTTTTCATAGTTTTCTTCCTTTGCTTTAATTTCTTTACCTAATTTTTCCTGTACTATTCTTAATTTTGGAAATCATTTTAAGCTGTCCTAGGAATTTTTGTTGGGCTTGTGTCCAATTCACATTGTTTTTTTTCTTTGAGGCTTTGCTTGTAGCTGTTTGACTTCATTGTCCTTTTCTGAGTTTGTGTCTTGAGCTTCCCTATCACCATAGTTGTTTTTTATGGTCAGGTTCTTTTTATGGTGTTTGTTCATTTTCCTACTGTTTCTTGATTTAGAAGTTTATGTTAATATTGGGCAAAGGAGGGTAGAGGAGCACTGGCTCAAGCTTTCTTTCTGCACTGTTTTCAGAGATAGTTATGGGGGTTTGGAAGTTTATGGTGTTTCCAAGGTAGTGTGATCTGAGGAGACATGGTCACT